ACCTCTCAGTCCCCAAAAGCCCCACCAACGTTCACAGAACCACTCCGTTCCCAGGACTGGTTTAATTAGCCCATTAACCAGCCTGCCCCACAGCACGGCCCCCATCATACAGGCACAGGGAACCCCTCCCCACATCATTTTCCAACACGCGTTATTTTCCAACACAACCCACTCTCGTTCCCTCGCTGCCCACCAGCAGTGCCCACCCCACATGCAGCGCTCCCTCCAATTCCACCATTTTACCCCCGAATTCTTCCCGTCATGGCTCTAAAATGCCCCCGGCTTGGCAGCCAGGGAGGGGTAGACCTCAGGGCAGCAGCAAGGACCCGCAGGAGCTCCACGAAGGGCACAGACATGGGATGCTGCAGCGGGACACGGATGTGCTGGAGGGTGTCTGTATAAAGGTGACAAAGCTGGAGGTTTCCCAGCAGCAGCACAGCAGAGCTACATGCAGCTGTGGGGAGGAACCCAATTCCCACAGCCAGAGCCCCAAAGCAGCTCCTCACAGCTGCTCCTCCCACCTTCAGGAAGAGGAGCACACAGCCATAGGCGCCAGGCAGGGTGGGATGGTCCAGCCACAATGCCCAGAGCCCACGGTCGAGGATGGAGAGAGAAGAGCAGGCAGCAGCCCCATCTTCAGAAGTGCCCCCTCGCCCTCCTCTCCCCCTCCCCTACACAGGCTCAGAGCACAGAGGCAGTTTGCTGCCGCACTCATGCGGGCTCTCCCTTCTCATGTCGCTCTTCTGGTGCCCTCACGAGCAGTGGAGCTGCTTGTAGGCTTTCTGGCACTCGTTGCACCAGTAGCGCTTCCTGCCCGCGTCGCTCTGGCTGTGGTGGACGAACTCGGAGGCCCAGACAAAGCTCCTATTGCAGCAGAGACACAGGGTGAAGTGATGCCGGTCAGCGTGCGTCCTCTGGTGCAGCACCAGAAACTTCTGGCTGGAGAAGTTCTCCATGCATTCGGTACACGTATACGTAATTTTCTGAGGAGACAGTGGGAACCGGCTGGGGTTGGACTTCTCCCACTGCTCCCTGGTGCTGCTGCCCTGGGTGTGGGGCTGGGCGGCCCTGCAGGGCGCCAGGCTGGAGCCCCCCTCGGTGTCGGAGGGTGGGCAGAACCCCGTGGCCGCCCGGATCCGCAGGTGACGCCGGATTTTCTTCTTGGACTTGAAGGTCTGGTTGCATTCGATGCAGATGTACGGCACCCAGTTGCTGTGGCTCTTCTGGTGGATGATGAGGTTGATCTTGAGCAGGAAGTTCTTCCCGCACACCACGCACCTGTAGAACTTCTCTCGGGAGGAGTTTCGCTGGCAGGCAGCGGTTCTGCCCACGCTCTCCTCTGGCTTTGCCAGCAGATCAGCCGAGCTGCTGGGCTCCACGTGTGCTGCTGTTTGGCAAAGGTCTGGCATCTCCTCCTTGCTCGGCTCTTCAGGAGCATCCGCTGCCACACACTGGCCGCTGTTCCCTGCACCTTTCAAGTCCTCCTTTTGCAGACCCTCCTCGGCACCGATCCGCTCCTGCAGGACCTCTCCTGGGATCCCCACCTCAGCACCTGCTGGAAATTTGGCAGAACCCCAGCATCACTCTTCCGCTCAGTCCTGAGAACAAGGCATAAAGACCCAGGGGGCATAAAGACCCTCATGTCTCCCTCTCTCCTCGCCCAGGAGCTGCTACCAATGCCAGCACTGCTCTCTTCTTCCAGCCCAGTGCCTTCCCAGACCATAGACCCACCCAGAGCACAGCTGGACACCACTACAGCCAGTCACCTCAGACACCCCAAGGGATGATGAACATCACTGAGGATGGGAAGAGCCCAAAAGAGACATCAAGGGCTCATCCTTCAGCGCAAACCAACTGACTGACTTGGTTCACACCAAGCCATATCCCATTTTTATATAGTTTCAAAGCTGGTAACTGGATTTACTGCGCTAACCCCTTCTTGGCCCATGTGAATCATGTAGAAATCTGTCCAAAAAGCCTCAGCAAAGGTTCATGCAGAGCTAATGCTGCATACTGTGCTCCCTGAGCCCCCAGCCCAGCAGGAGGGAGGAAGGGCTCTGCACTTTACCTGCTGCAGGAGGAAGAGATGGAGGCAGGCTCAAGGTCAGCACTTCCTGGCAGCACGTGGGGATGGGGCAGGGAGGGGAGGTAGCCAGGTGGCTGAGATCTGCTGGAGCTCCTATGGCTTCCTGAGGAACGTGTGCTACAAGGGCAGAGGCGGGGATTACGACCTCAGGTGAGGCACAGCCAGGGCTCAGGGTCCCTCGCTTCGGTGGACTCGCCAGACACTCGTGTGCACTACTGTCAGATGCATCCGAAGGGCTCCTGCTGTCCTCCAGGCTCCTGCATCTCCCTGTAGAAGACTGCTCTGTCTCCACCTGCAGCAGGGCTTCACCGCTCGCACAGCCAGGACCGTCGGGTTCTGGGGACAGAAGAGTGCTCATCATCACCAGCCCCTGCTGGGGTCCATAGGAGCCAGCACAGGGCCGGAGGGTCCCCTCTGGGGGTCTCAAGGCACTGGGCTCCGTGCCAGGGGGAGACTTCCAGGCTACTGATGTTCCCAACACAATCCCCTGTGCACGGCCACAGGAGCTGCCCCTGTCCCTGTGGCTGAGGGCAAGGACCGCTGGCGTGCTGGTAAGCAGGCAGGAGCCAGGATCCGTGCATGGCTGAGACTCAGCATCACTCACCTGCAGCTGGCTTCAGGGACACCGCCGTGCCCTCCAGGCCTGGCTCTGCTGGTTCACATGGCTCTCCTCTTTCCATCTGCAATAAGACTTCAGGCTTGGCTAGGTCACAGTCTGCTCAAGGACAAGACAAACATCAGAGACGTGAAGCATCTTTGCAGGTGCATCCACTGTCTTCTGCACGTGCTGTCATCATACAGCCCACACCCCATCCATCAAAACCTCACCTCCAAACAAGCTGCACGCCAGGAGTTACAGGCAAAGACAGGGAGCTCTATGGAGGATCTGAAAAGCACCCTCAGGCTCATCTGATAATTCATCTCTGCTCCACCTAGGATTACTAGACAAACCTGTTCTCCCAGAATTCCCCCACACAACAGGTGTAAAGTGCCCTGAAGACAGGAAAACAATCTGGCCCACTGCAGGATTTGGCTCGTGCCTCATTTTTCACCTGGGTTGTACTTGGAGGTGAGCTCACGAGATGCTAAGGGGACACCAGCTGCAGGGAAATCCAAGCCCACTGCTCCCTTCACCTCAGCACTGGGTAGAATCAATGACAAGCGTGAGGGTTTCAGGTTGGACAGAGCTGATTTTGTCCACGTGTCTGCTATGATGCCATGCTCTGGCCTTAGGAGAAAACCAGTGTTGGTAACACGATGATGTTTCAGTTGCAGCTGAGCAGTGCTGGGCAGACATTTGGGTTTCTCAACTTCTCATGCTATCCTGCCAGCAAGTGGGCTGAGTGGCACGAGGAGCTGGGAGAGGACAGAACCTACACTGGCCAGAGAGAGATGTTCCATACGACATCGTGGGATACACACAGGAAACCTGACAGAGATCGTGGCAGTGAGAATTTGTAAGGCAGCTCAGAGAGGACGGCATCCCAGCTTTCCACAAGGAGACACTGAGCACTTTCTACCCCCTCCTGAGCCCGACAGCCTCCACTTGCTCCCAGAGGGGACAAGAGTTGGAGCTGATTGTTTGGGGCTACAGATCCCAATGAGAGGTAAAGAAAAGCAACCCAGGGAGAGCAGCCCGGATAGCGATGGGAAATGCCAAACCAGCACGGATGCATACACAGGGACACCAGCATTTCACAGTTGCTCTGCATCACGCTCCGATGCAGCTCCTTCTGCTCATCATCCAGGAGGGCCCACTCGTCCCTGCTGAACTCCACAAAGACATCCCTGAAAGTCACCGGCAGCTGTGGGCAGAGGGCTGGGCTCAGTGCGTCTGCCAGCTCCTCCCAGCCAGCTCCCAGACCCTGAGAGCCCCATTAGCAGCCCTTCAGATTCACCAAAAGGCCCCTTCGCCCCTCCTAATGGGCCCACAAGCAACCTCCAGGCCCACTCTCAGCCCCCTCCCCCCATCAGCCCATTCAATCTCTCCATAGCACCATGTGCATCCCATAGGCTACTGCACTGTTCCCAAAATGATTTCTCAGTCCTTCAAAGGCCCGTCATTGACCCCGAAACCCAAATCTAGCCTGCCTCACCCTTCTCCCAGAATCTCTGTGCAGGAGCCCCATGGCTCAGTACCAGCCCCAGACACCCCCAGCCCCCTTCTGGCCCTTGAAGCAGCCCCCAGCTTCACACCCAGAGCATCAAAAGCCCCCAAACTGCTGAAAAAGCATCATCCCCCAGCCTCGGTTCCACAAAGTCCCCATCAGTAACTGCCAGACCACCTCACAGCCCCACAGACAACCTCTTAGCCCCCCACAAACGGACCTCAGCCTGACACCCAGACCCCCATAAGGAAGCCCTACGTTGATCCCCTGCCCCACAAACATCGCCTCAGCCCCCAGGCTGACCCTCAGCCAAAGGCTCCATAACAGCCCCCAGCCTGACTCCCAGCCTCAACACAGCCCCATAACGACGCCAGGACCGACCCCAGCCCCCCGATCACCCCCTCAGCCCGAACGAGCAGCCCCCAGCTCAATCCCTGCCCCCTAACAGCCCCGATCAGAGCCCCCACGTTCACCTCTGCCCCACGCACCTCCCCAGCCCCCCAGCAGCACCACCAGCATTCTCAGTGCAGACGTCCAGCCCGGGAAGCTTCACCCCCAAAGCCACCGGCGACCCCCAGCCCCACTGACACTCCTTCACAGCCTGAGGGCTCCCGAGCAGCTTCCAGCCAGACCCCCAGCCGGCCCCACGAGCAGCCGCCAGACCCACGACCGACGCCTCCCCGAGAAGGGCCGTACCGAGGGCAACCGCGGCCCCCAGGCTTCCCTGTCCCTCAGCGCAGCCTCTGCCCGCTCCAGCCGCCGCTCCAGGGCCTCGATGCGGGCGTACAGCTCCTCCATCACCACACCGACACCCGACGGGACGGGACGGGGCAGCCCACGGCACCCGCCCTCCCCCATCGCTCCCACCGCAGGCCTCGTGCAGGCAGCGCCCCCTGCTGGTCGGGATGCGCGCTGCACCGCTCTCTCGGCTCACGTGGCGGTGCCGCCTCTCCTCGCCGCGCATGGCGCCCTCCGGCCGGCAGGGGGCGCTGTTGCAAAGAGCGGCGGCCAGGCGGCACCTCCCGGCGGTACGGCGCCAGGTGCGGTCGAGGCGGCGGCGGCGGCTCCGGGCGCGGGGCAGGTGGGCCGGGGTCCTTCGGTTCGGTTCGGTTTGGCTCGGTGCGGTTCGGTGCCGTTGTGCGGGGACGGGAGCCGGGTCTGGGTGACGCTGTGTGGGGAAGGAAGCGTGGGCCCGGTGTCTCCGCACAGACTTGAGGCCCTGGGTTCGGTGCCCGCACGTGGAACGGCGGCCGGTCCCACGGCCCCGTCCCGGTGCCGTGTAGTGGGGGCGAGGCCCGGCTCTCCTGACCCCGCACGGAGAGATAGCGGCCGGTCCTGCCGGCCCCATGCCGGGGAAAGCTCCATCTGGGCGCCCTCGCAGAGGTGAGGCCTCGTGTCCCCGCACGGAGGGATGCGGAGGGCTGGGGTCCACACGTGGGATGAGGGCCCCGTGTGGGGGCAGGCCGCGGTCCCAGGTGAGAACCCGTTCCTGGTGACGTGATACGTGGGGGGAGAGCTGGGATGGATGTCCCCAGGCAGAGCGAGGGCCCCGGTGCCGCTGTTCCCTACCTGACTTAAGAGCCCGTTTGCCAGCGGAATGGGAAAGCCAGGCCCCGGTGTCCTCTGTGTGGGGTTAACAGCCCGGTCCTGGTGTCCCTGTATGGGCGGGGAAGGCCGGGTCTGGGGTCCTGGCATGGAATTAAGGCCTCGCTCCTGGTGTCTTCACATGAGGTCACTGCCCCGGTCCTGGTGTGCCCGCCGTGCCCTCACAAGGCAGGAACCCCAGTCCTGGTGTCCCCATGTGAGAGGCTCAGTCCCGGTGTCTCTGTATGGGGAGGGAAGCCCTCTCCCGGTGTGCCAAGGCCTCACAGCTCTCCCTCCCACCCTTAGCAGCTCAAGGACCCTGCAGGACACCGGGAGCAGAACAGCTGCCGGCCTCAGCCTGTCCTTTGGAGCGGGACATGGCCTCCGCGCTCCCCGGCAGCTGCCTCTGCTCATCCGGCCTCCCTCAAGCACCAGGTGAAGCCGTGCCAAGCAGCACCGCCAGCATCTCGCTGTGGACAGTGGTGGCTGCAGTGCAGGCGGTGGAGAAGAGCGTAGAGGCCCACGCCTCCCGGCTGCTCAACCTAGAGCGAAGGACGGTAACCACTGAGAAAAAGTACTTGGACTGTGAAAAAACAGTGGTGGATTTTGGGAACCAGCTGGAGAGCAAGCTGACCGTGCTGGGCACTCTCATCCGGGAGTACGGGCAGCTGCAGCGGCGTCTGGAGCACATGGAGAACCTGCTGAAGAACAGGAACTTCTGTGTGTTGCGTCTGCCCTCCGGCCTCAAGGTAACAAACTGCACCCACAGGGTGGTGAGGCACTGGAACGGGCTGCCCAAGGAGGCTGTGGATGCCCCATCCCTGCAGGCATTCAAGGCCAGGCTGGATGTGGCTCTGGGCAGCCTGGGCTGCTGGTTGGCGACCTGCACACAGCAGGGGTTGGAGCTGGATGAGCATCGTGCTCCTTTGCAACCCAGGCCATGCTGTGATCTGGATGTTCCCTGTGGGCACTGAGTGTGCCCCAGTGCTGGTGGCACCTGGTTGAGGTTTCCCAGGAAACCCTTTATTTCCCCAAGCACATCAGCTGCCTGTGAGGAGGATGTTTTACTGTGCTAGAAATGCAAATACAACTGGGGGTGGTTGTTTGTATGTGTATTCCAGTTTATATTTACTCGAATCTCTTTGCAAAAGGACAGATGGTTACTAAATCCCCATAAAAATAACACTGAAGGAAACAGAACGGTGAGAAACTGGCAATATGCTTGCCCTGAATTAGCACAGAGGAAGAAAATTCTTCAGACTGAGGATCTGAGTCGTAACGATGCTTTGAGGCATAATTTCTTTTGTCTTTTCAGCACCTAATGTATGGTAGCAGTGATAAATAGAAATGCAGAAGTTCTCTCTTGGTAGTGCTGTAAGGATGGCAGAGGTATCTGTGTCAGGCTGAGTTTGTGACTTTTACAATTGCAGGCCCCAGAGGCATCTGAAAGTGACACGGCTTGCTTTGCTGAGCAAGAGTGGGAGAACCTGGAGGAATGGCAGAAGGAGCTGTACAAGAACGTGCTGAGAGGGGACGGTGAATCTCTGAACTCTCTGGGTAAAGAACGCTTTTAAAGTCAGTTCTGGGTGCTTCTGGGTTAGCTGCCATGGGGAACTTTCCTGCACTCAGGAGCCAAAGCTGTAGAAGCACACAGAGGTCTGTGCCCGCTGCCAGCATGGAGCACAGCTCGTGTTGCATCCAGAGCCTCAGCGCTCAGTGGAGTGGGAACTGGCTGCTGACTCTCCCAGAGCCCTGCTGTGTGCCAAGCCCAGCCTACCAGCCCCTTCCCTCGGGCTCTGGGTGTTTTTGGTGCTGGGATGGAGTTTTCTGCCCAAGGCCATCTGCTGGTGGGCCGTGCAGAGCCCCCCGTGCAGTGGGCTCTCGCTGGATGGTGTGTTTTGGCCAATGGAGCTGTTCTGGGGCATGCAGCTGCTGCCAGTACTGTTTGAAGAGGTACATTCCTCCCCGTCACTACTTGGCTTGGCACCTTGTTCCCTCTCCTGTCACCTGCAGCAATGAGAGCAGTTTGATGCAGCACAGAAACATTAACATTTCTGTTTCTCAACAGATTATGCAATCTCCAAACCTGACCTCTCGTCCCGGCTTCAGAGAGGAGAAGTGCCCTGCAGTGAGGTGACCTCAGGACAGAAGGAGATTCCTACCGAGCCGAATGCAGGCAAGAGATGAATTGATGGCATTTTTTACCCTTGGGGATAATGAGTGTGTGGTGCTGTCCCCAGACAGAGAATATGGCAGGTGATGGTCCTAATTTACTATGAAAGGAACTTCTCAAGGAGAGCAGGCTCCGGGGGAATGACAGTGTCAGAAAGCACACAGTGGGTTTGATCTCCCATTAGCAGAATATCTGTTGATTAGATCTGGTGCAGGCAGCTAAGGCAGCAAAGGAGTGCAGTGCCCTAGAGAACAAGAGCAACTTGAAAGAAGAAAACAGCATTTGGGGGTGTGAAGGGAGCATCTGTGGGGCTGGGGGTCAGCTGAAAGGGTCCTTCTGGGACTGGGTGTCTGCCAGACCCAAGGAGTGTTGGTTGGAAAGTGTGTGCTTGGATGTAGCACCAGGGAGGATGCTGTCCTGAAACATTGTCAGCTGTGGGGTAAGAGGAAGCCCTCTCCCTACAGGGCTGAGAACAGCAGGTAGTGCTGAGGAAAGGTTGTGTAAGAAATTGGGGTGGCAGGGAGCAAGCTGGCTGCAGGGAGGGAAGAGCCAAAGTGCTGTGATACCCAGTAAGGGAGTTTTTCTCTTGACATCAGCAGACTTCAGCATTGCAGAGCCGAGCTTCGCGGGAGCTCTGAAGCAGAATGAAGAGGTGTGTGCGGAGGAGCAGGAAGCCACGGAGGGTGCAGAGTTTACTGAGCTCAGCGTGGGTGAGTTCTGAGCAGTGCCACCAAGTGCTGTGCCACTGCAGAGCCGGTGCTGCATGAGGGCACCCCAGATGTTCCCCCTGCATGTGCCGGGCCCTGGGGAGAGAGCAAGAGCTGTGCTGAGGTTGAGAAAGCGGACTGAAATGTTACAGACAGTTTGACGTGTAGGAAGATTGAAGTGATGGGTGGACGAGGCGTTTCTGATATTTTTCCCTGGAATTTCTTCTGCTTTTGGTAGCAGTCTCAGAGGAAGGAGCTGTGCTCCAGAGGAGTCCCTCAGCACGTACCTGAGGGCTTGATACCAGCTCTGCAGTCATTTCCTTGTTTCATACTTTCTCCCTCACTCTCAGTCCTGGTCTCTGTTTCTTCTTGTGCTTCATCAGAGGCGTCCAAAGGCCTTGTTCAGTTTTTGTTGGTATTTGCCCTGCTGTGAGTGCTCTTTTTCACGTCCACCCGTAGTGTCACCTCTGCATGTTGTCACCTTGTTACGTACACATCCAGAGCAGCACATCTCAAGTCAAAAATTGGGAGTGTTGATGTGTTCCCCTTCAACAAAGAGGCTGCACAGGGGGGGTCACCACATCCTGGGAGGAGAGGGAAGGTGGATCTCGTGGAAAGGGCCGCCACCATCTGAAGAGTGTGAAATACTGGGATGTTGGTGTATGGAGGGCAGCGGATGCAGTGGGAAGCAAAGTCCTACCCCAGGTTCATGAGATCTTAGCACCTGGGAGGAGGAGGACAGCTGGAAACAATTTTGGAAGCTCTGGGCAGCGCTGAAGTGTGTGCTGTCTTGGAAGGCAGCGCTTCTCTCTGCTCCCTCTGTTGTGGCTTCTGACACTCGCTGCTCAGCCAGCTGAAATGGCAGCATTCCTGTGCTCTTCACTCATATTCTGTCTTGTTTGAGTTCTCCAGTTGACTCAGTACAGCAGTGTTTCATGCTCCCTGCTAAGAGGGGCCTGTTTGATGCAAGGGTGGCAGGGGAAGGATGGGCGTTTTAGAAGCATCTCTGTCTCCCGGCAGTGAATGTCCCCTTTGTTTTTCTCCTCAGTTCCAGCTGATGAGGTGATAGCATTCAAAATAGAGCAGCTGGACTCTGACGAATGCCTGCAAAGCTCAGAGTGTCCCGCAGCTTTATCCGGGGAATCGGAAGACGTGGTTTTCCAGAGCGCCAACGAGGTGCTGCCCTTTGACAGTCAGTACAGCTCTGCTGTGCCCCTGGGAAACCAGAGCATGAGCAGGTTGGTGCCATCTGCTTCTGGGGAAGGCGATCTTGGTGAAATCAACACCGTCACATTCTACAGGCAAGAGTATCCCGAGGAGAGGCCTCACTCGTGTGTTGCATGTAGGAAGGGCTTATGTCTGAAGAAGATGCTGATGATGCAGCAGCAGAATTACAGCACGCTGTGTGGCAGTGAGCCCGCTGAAGACGAGAACATCTTCATCCATCAGCCTCACCAGCAGATCCACGTTGCCACAGAGAGCTTCAAGCAGAACCCGAAGGTAAAAGCTCCCGCTGGCGTCTCAGCCACAAACAAGGCACGTGGCAGCTCCAGGTGCATGAAGAGCATCAGCAGCAACCGCAGCAAACCTGGGCACCCGCAGGGGAAGCCTTACAAGTGCAGCAAGTGTCAGGAGTGCTTCTCCCAGAAGAAAACCCTCATCGTCCACCAGCGCGTGCACTCGGGCCGGAGCCCGGGGGTCCTTTGGTGCTCGTACTGTGGGAAGACTTTCAGCCATCCCTCCAATCTGATCCGGCATCAGAGGATCCACACTGGGGAGAGACCATACCAGTGCAACGAGTGCTTGAAGCGCTTCACCCAGAAGCAGCACCTCCTTCAGCACGAGAAGATCCACCTGCGAGAGAGGAACTGCGCCGTCAGGAGTCACACGAGGGAGGCACCGCTATAGGGCTTCCAGGTTGTGCAGGGCTCGCGTGGCCCTACAGCCCCCGGGCGAGGAAGGCAGGAGAGGACAGAGTCTCTGCTGCTCGGCATCAAAGTCTCTCTATTTATCATAAAGTAGAATTAGGATCCACCACGGCATGACTGCCCTCTTCTGCGTGGTGGTGATGATGCGATACCTCATAGTTAGCTGAAAGTCTCTTAAGAACAAAAGTGTGTCGGGTCTCTCCAGGTTTGAGTCAGTTATTTGAACTGGTTACAGCAAACAGCTGCTTTTCACCTGGAGTTTCCCTCCCTGCATTCCTTGATGAATTTCTGCTGTGCTCAGTTTCGTGGGCAAGCTTGAGTGACGTGTTTAAAGGACTCCAGGATATTAAAGACATGCACGAGAGGAAGTGTCACTGATGACTTGCAGGGAGACCCTGGGTTTGTACTGCAGTGACAGGGGAATTCCCTTTTTGTCTTGCTTCTGAGCACACCTAATAGAGGCAGCATTGCCCAGGCTCCTCCTGGTACCTCTTGGACTCCCAGTGGAACTGAAGGGAGAAACAATTGATAAGCCAGAGGCAGTGCTCAGCTGTGCCCTCAGGCTGAAGTGAGCGCTGGGATAATGTTCTGTATCTGCCCCTGCATTAACACTTTTTCCTTTGTCTTTATTGTCCTCATCTCTCTTTCCTCCTGCTAGCGTGGGGTACGTATGCTCTTCTGATAGTAGAGATGGGCTTTCATTGTATCCCAGAAGGAAACGCGTTCGGCCAACAGCCCCAATACATCGTGCAGCTTCAGGGCTCACAGCACTGTCTGACCTGGCTTAAAGCTGCTCTTTGATCTCCCCATTGCTCACGGGGCTTTTGAAACCTCTCTGCCACTTCCTGGTCCCCAGGTGCCCACTAGGACGGGTGCATGTGGCTGGCTCGTGCTTGCAGGGACAGAAGTGTTCCTGGGCAGGTCTGTTAGCTGGAAGCTCTTCTGGCCCAGCAGTGAGCTCTTTCCAGGACCTCGCTGTTCAACGCCACCTGCCCTGATGTTGGAGCACAAGACAGCAGTGCTGCTGTGCCTGTTGCAGCCAAGCGGCGAGGCAGCTCCAGGCTCTGGTTTAGGCTAACCTGACTCCTGCAGAATCTGGAGCAGGTTGGGGTGAGCCTGTGTGAGCCTGTGTGAGCCTGTGTGAGCCTGTGTGAGCC